TGGCGGCATTTCAATTTTGTTCTAGAAATCGGTGTCGCCGCTATGGCGGCATGATCTTTGTTTTGTCAAGTATCATACTTTGGAAAATTACAAAAATTAAAACGTTTTATTTTTATGCACTATAACTAGTATGTATTAAAAAAAATATATCAGTTTCAAAATATTCTGTTTTTCAATATCCTTATATATATAATAAATCAACTATGCAAAAATAACTTTAAAAATCTAAATTTGCTCCGACTAGCTGGTAGTCCAACCAGAGAAATGTGCCGATCGCAAAGGGTTAATATTATAACGGTATAATAAGAATGCGGTTGCCATAAGAATGCAAATAAATTATTAGCAATAATATAATATTGTTGTATTCAGTATATCGAATGAACTGTAGTGCTGTCATATTTGCATTAAAAATTCAAATAAGAAAGAATCGCGCAGCGTCTTTTAGTGTCGTCGATTTTACAATCGTTGGAATTTTTTGCATAGATTTAACATGTCTTATTTGAACCTCTGACAAAGTAAATTTCAAGTATTCCGGGTTGCCTATACGACTAAGTACTCAAAGAGTTAAGTACCTCAGCGGAGGAGAATGGTTTTGTGATGGTTTCAGTTGGAGGGTTTAACAGTGGAATTGTTCTGATCGTTCTCAATAGGTCAAGGTGATTTTGACCTATCATTTTGTAGTTCAAGATGACAAATAATCATGACGACAGTACGAAAGTACTTTATCAGCAGCAAAAGAACAACACTCGTTCTAAGAGAACGAGTGTGCAGTATTTTTTGATATTTTCAACTCTTCGCATGATTTAGCTTGCTTCGAATAGCGCGTGTTTTAGAGAATTCAATGGAATTCGATGATTTCCTAGACTGAAACTGGTGTTTTCCCAGCTAAATTTAAGTGCGATTTATTTTTTTTTGTGTTAAATGTGAGTGTTAGAATTATAAACGAAACAGAATCTGTAGATGTTTTTGCAAAGTTAGAGATGATTAACAGGTTCTTTTGGTTACATTTTGTATTAATCGTGTTAGAGAAGTTGGAATTGTTATGGATAGACTTCTTCCGTGATCGTTCATTTCCTGCTCTGCTTGAAGTTTTGTTTTGCTTCACTGTTTCATTGCTTGGATAATAGTACACTGAGAGCAAACAGCCGAAAAATATGTCACTCGTAGCTGTGTAAATTCTCGTTTGTGTTAATGGAACGAACGGAGAGGCAAGAACTTCGTTTTGAAACCTCAGAGTCGATTTATGGTAGCTGTAAAAGAGTTTGAAATTACAGTATTCTAAGAGGAAATTAAGGAGAATTGTCGTTAAGTTTTATTAAATTTTTCGTTGGTAAATTTCGAATTTGTTCAGAAATTGAAGATTTAAGTAACGGAGGAAGAAACTTCGAGTCTTCAGGAAATTTAATAGAAAATCTAGCATTGACGCGGACAAGCCAGATGATTCTAAATTTTTTTGCTCGTGGTGTGTATTTTTAACTCGACACAGTTCGGTTAAAAATACATCGAAAATGTGTGGTAATGTCATTTAAACAAATCGAGTTATCAGCGGAACATTAGCATTAATTGCAGCAGCTCGTTATCAACTTAGCCATTTAACTGTCGCGATCGATGTCTGAAATTGTTTGTGAATATTCGTCTATTTACAATTTGCAAGTGAAAATTTCGAAAGGAACGAGATCTATCCTTAAGGCAATTTTCACGAGAAAACAGAAGAACGAACATCTCGTATCGACGACAATATCTTCCAAAATTGTCGATATTTTTCGACGAAAATTTAACAATATTTAGTTAACAACATATTTTTCATCGTAGCAAAATTTCATCTAATTCCTATTCACAGTTTTTCTAAGAAAAAACAACAAAACAATTCGTCATTTTGTACTTTGTACCAGCCTTATACGTATCTCGAGTCTCTAGATTACCGCTCAAGTCCCGTTTCCAACACACTTGGAGTTTTGTCGTGGATCCGTAAGACATAGAAAGAAATTGCGGACCATTACGTGGTCTTTGCGGACAGGCGGGAACGCGAAACGAAATTGGTATTCATCGTGGCCGCTGTTTTAATAAGATTCCGGCCGGTTGCGAATCGCCTTTAAACCGGGTTACGACGTCGACGTTTTACTGCTTCGCGGACTGGAAACGCTTCTTCTGCTGCGGGAGTATTCGTTGCGCGCTCCTCCTGCGTGGCAAAAAGATAATGGAGCGATGTTCAGCAGCGTTTTCACGGAACACCCGGGTGGCTTCTCAAACGAAGTAGGCCGGTTTTACTCTGTTTTGTCAATGAGGAATATTTACGGGGTCATTGTACTGTTAGAAATATTACCAGAGATAGAGTAAGAAATTCTAGTTTCGCGTGGTAGACAAGTTTCTATTTTTTTTTTTGAACTCCTTAATTTACGATCCTTTTTTTCCGATTATGCATTTAAGCGTCAACTGTTTGCTATTTTAGAGTTGCATTGAGTAAAAACAGCCAATATATTATGGACCAATTATATTTGGCAATTTTTAGTCTTATTAAATAGGCAAATTTCTTTTTTTCACTCCTTAATTTATGATCTTTTTTTTTTTGCTAATTATACATTTAAGCGTCAACTATTTACTATTTTAGAGTTGCATTGAGTAAAAACAGCCAATATATTATGGACCAATTATATTTGGCAATTTTTAGTCTTATTAAATAGGCAAATTTCTTTTTTTCACTCCTTAATTTATGATCTTTTTTTTTTTGCTAATTATACATTTAAGCGTCAACTATTTACTATTTTAGAGTTGCATTGAGTAAAAACAGCCAATATATTATGGACCAATTATATTTGGCAATTTTTAGTCTTATTAAATAGGCAAATTTCTTTTTTTCACTCCTTAATTTATGATCTTTTTTTTTTTGCTAATTATACATTTAAGCGTCAACTATTTACTATTTTAGAGTTGCATTGAGTAAAAACAGCCAATATATTATGGACCAATTATATTTGGCAATTTTTAGTCTTATTAAATAGGCAAATTTCTTTTTTTCACTCCTTAATTTATGATCTTTTTTTTTTTGCTAATTATACATTTAAGCGTCAACTATTTACTATTTTAGAGTTGCATTGAGTAAAAACAGCCAATATATTATGGACCAATTATATTTGGCAATTTTTAGTCTTATTAAATAGGCAAATTTCTTTTTTTCACTCCTTAATTTATGATCTTTTTTTTTTTGCTAATTATACATTTAAGCGTCAACTATTTACTATTTTAGAGTTGCATTGAGTAAAAACAGCCAATATATTATGGACCAATTATATTTGGCAATTTTTAGTCTTATTAAATAGGCAAATTTCTTTTTTTCACTCCTTAATTTATGATCTTTTTTTTTTTGCTAATTATACATTTAAGCGTCAACTATTTACTATTTTAGAGTTGCATTGAGTAAAAACAGCCAATATATTATGGACCAATTATATTTGGCAATTTTTAGTCTTATTAAATAGGCAAATTTCTTTTTTTCACTCCTTAATTTATGATCTTTTTTTTTTTGCTAATTATACATTTAAGCGTCAACTATTTACTATTTTAGAGTTGCATTGAGTAAAAACAGCCAATATATTATGGACCAATTATATTTGGCAATTTTTAGTCTTATTAAATAGGCAAATTTCTTTTTTTTAAATCCTTACTTTATGATCTTTTTTTATGCTGATCATGAATTTAAGCGTCGGCTATTTGCTATTTTAGCACTGTGTTAGATAAGAAAAGTCAATGTATTATGGATTACATTAGGTAATTTGCAGTCTCGTTAATTAAAATTAATTTTTCACTCGTTGTTACAGGGCAAGGGGTTAATTGGTATCTCATAGAAAGGTGGGAACAGTTCTGTTAGAGTATTATTTGTTAGAAATTTTAGGACGAAAATTTGTCGCGAAAAAGTGTACGTGACTTATTTCAATTCTTCGGTACACTTCTTCTTCGTTAAATTTTCGATGGATTTCAGTTGGTAAAATTCTGTCGTTGCTTAACCCTGAAGGAGATAGTGAACTCACGTACGCGTAGACGAAACACCATTAACGTAGTCGAAGAACTCATACATATTTGTTCGATAGCGTGGTTTATCGTTACCAGTTAACAGCGTGATCGTGAACTCATATA